ACTCACTCAACCATTACGCCTACGGGCTACACTACTTCGAGTTCGAATCATTCACTCGACTAAGCCTACGGGCTATTTTTATTTCGAGTTCGAGCAAACACTCACTCGACTATTAAGCCTACGGGCCACATTATCTCGAGTTCGAAATATTCACTCGACTATTAAGCCTACGGGCTACTGTTATTGCGAGTTCGAGCAAGCACTCACTTGACCATTACGCCTACGGGCTATGATATTTCAAGTTTGGAACAATCATTCGACTACTAAGCCTACGGGCTACCTTTATCTCGAGTTTGAAACACTCACTCGACCATTGCTCCTACGGGCCACATTATCTCGAGTTCGAAATATTCACTCGACCATTAAGCCTGCGGGCCACATTATCTCGAGTTCGAAACATTCACTCGACTATTAAGCCTACGGGCTACTGTTATTCCGAGTTCGAGCAAACACTCACTCGACCACTATGCCTACGGGCTACAATATTTCAAGTTCAAAACATTCACTCAACGGCTAATAAGCTACTTTTACTCTGAGTTTACATTAACTCAACCATTACATTACACCTACGGATTATGTTCCTTCAAAGTTTGAACCATCGACTCAACAAGCAAACCCAGGGGCTACAAATCTACTCGATCAGAGAGACGACAAGGTCAACATTCGATTAAAAGTCTTCACAAAACAAAAACAAGTCGACCTCGTTATACATATATATACAAAAATTGCCTACGTGATTAATTGACAAACATGAAGAAATAAAAACTAAGCTTCCTGGTCGAGCTCTTCCCCGTCCTCGGATCCGCTTTAGCTACCATCATCATCATCATCATCATCAGAAGCCAAGGCTTCAGCTTCAGCTTCGAGCTCTTTTGCCCCTTTTACCTCTTCGGTAAGGTCGAAACCTCGAGCGTGTATCTCCTCGAGGGTCTCCCTCCGAGACCTACACTTAGCAAGTTCGGCAACCCAATGAGCTCGAGTATCGGCGGTCTTCCCCGCTTCCCGGGCCTCCATCTGATCAGCCTCAGCATTAGCCTGATATACATCAATGGACTTATCCGCCAAGAATTTCGACGACTCAACCTCCGCCTTAGCCTTAGCAAGTCGTGTTTCAAGCTCCTTGATCTTCTTAGCTTGAACTGACCCCTTTTGCTTGACACTTTGAAGTTGAACGTCGGCCAATAATAATTTTGTTAAGATGGTTTCTTTTTCCGCTGCCAGGCAGTCGAGGGTCTCCTTCCACCGATTGTATTCAGCTCGGATTTGATCGACTTCTTCTCGAAGTATTAACCCGATCTTTTCGATCTTTTGCTGCAACTGAGACAACGAAGGGTTAACTTCCACGGTTGAGTCAGATCCATACTTTAACAGAATGAGGCTCACTTGCTTATGGAGCTCGACCCCTTCTTCACGGACCTTAGCCAAATCCGCTTGGAGGTCCTTTATAGCATCGTGCTTTTGGCTGCAAAGAAGTCGCTGGGCATCTCTCTCACCTGAGACCTTCCGGAGCTCGACCTCATACTGGCTAAAATCAACTCGAAACCTACTAATGGCCTGCACAGTAAGAAACACGAGTCAAGTATGGAAAAGAACAAAGAAACCAAGTATGGAAGAATCATTACCCGAGTAATGAAACGCTGAGCCTCCTCTAATAAAAGAGAAGCGTCACCGATATCGAAACCATCGTCGACTCCAGTAAAACAATCCCTAAAAGTATCCCCTACACCAGAGCCTGCGCCGATATCGAGAGTCTTAAACTCTCGAGCTTCCTTTAGCGCCTCCTCAGAAAAAGATGGAAGAGAAGGCGAATCACCCATTGTCATAGCCCCGAGCAAATCGCAAAGAGTACTCTGGTCGAGACTCAGGTCTTCGGAAACAACCTCGACAGGCACAACCGTCATCGGCTCGGGAGCTCTGGCAACCTCGATGGCCTCCGTAGATCGGACTACCAAAGCCGAGGAGCTATTTTCTTCTTCTTCTTCTTCTTCTTCTTCTTCTTCTTCTTCTTCTTCTTCTTCTTCTTCTTCTTCTTCTTCTTCTTCTTCTTCTCTCAGTTGTCGGACCGAGTCAATCGGAAGGGCAATTGCTTTTCTCCTCATCCTTCGAGTTTTGGGCTTGGGGTCCTCTGACCGAGAGGAAGATCTTCGCTTCTTATCTTTCCCCTGTTTAGGGACCAGGGACTTGTTTCCTTCTTCACCG